AGATGGAGTCTTACTCTGTGTCACAGACTGGAGTGCAATGGCATGATCTCGGCTTACCGCAACCTCCATCTCCCAGGTTCAAATGATTCTCCTGCCTCAGCCTCCCGAGTGGCTGGGACTACAGGCATGACTCACCATACCCAGCTAATTTTTGCATTTTTAGTAAAGACAGGATTTCACCATGTTGGCCAGGCTGATCTTGAACTCCTGGCCTCAAGAGATCCAACCACCTCGGCCTCCCAAAGTGCTGGCGTTACAGGCATGAGCCACCACCCCTGGCCTCGTATTTCTTTATAACAAATACAACAAGAAAAGGCACTGACCTAACTGCGAAACTACCCTGGGCTGATTTTACAATCTCCAGCCTTAGCCTTGAAAACACTATGTAAACTGTGTGGCTTCATCTACAAGACTAATTGGTGCCTACGGTGGTGAAGTGGCAAGGACAGAAAGGCAAGCTTGTTCTGTAGTATCAGATCACTCAGGGACAGCCCTGTTTCAGAGTTGCACAGGTTGAAGCATGCCACAATTAAGACAACAAAGAACAGAGTCAGGAGCAGGAGGAACTCAATGAATCCATGGGGGTCTGCTTCTATAGCAACTATGGACCAGTTAATAGACCCTCCCTCCACGGAGCAGCTCAGTGTGGTCTTTGTGTGGTCTCAGTGTGGTCTTTGCTCTGTGCCCTCCTACTTTCTCCAGCAACCTCAGTGATACAGGTGCCAAGGTGGGTAAGTTCAGTGATTTGAGAGGCTGCTGCACTCACCGGTCATGCCCCACAGATCAGCAATTCTAGTCCTTCCTCCTATGAAAATTGAGATTCCCATGCATTTCTGTCTAAATGCCTGAGATGACCCATCTTAAACTGAGGCATAGACAAATCAGCAGAATTGTTATGGGGAGCAGGGGGAAGGTTGGGAACCTAGCAAATTTGCCCAGGAAGGAAAATGAGATACATTACTTGCTTCCAGTCTGTAATTTGGCAAAGTTATTTACTCTTTCCCTATCTTCCCATATCTTTCCAGACATTGGAAGGGCTGAAATGTTTGATGTAGTGTTAGATCATATGAAAATAAAGGCTGTTAGATTCTTTTAACATGGTAGCCTTTTATCTAATGTTAATATTTGAACAAGAAAACCGTATTTTTTAAGAATCTGAAAACCTTGGAAGCGTCCAAAAACTTTTTAACTCATCTATTCACTCACCTGTACATGGTTTTTTTTTTTTTTTTTTTTTTTTTTTTTTTTTTTTTTTTTTTTTTTTTTTTTTTTTTTTTTTTTTTTTTTTTTTTTTTTTTTTTTTTTTT